AACCTTAACTGAAAACGACGTTCTCGAATAGCATGGGATTTTCTTCTGCCCACACATGTGAATTTCGTGAATTATTTATCCCGTCTCTGGTAAATTGGGCTTCATCTGTAAATAGTGTCCTGTATAACGTTGGTCGATTATTGTTAATCCATCTACAAAATTCCAACCTATCGATCTCATCTCCAGCATGTAGTCGCTGAACCATTTGAATGTGATATGGGTATAGATTATTTTTTTGTAAGACTTTACTTACTTTTGATTGAGTAACATTGAGTTCTCGACTTACTTGGCGTCCATAATGTCATCTTCATGCGCTTCATCTACATGTCGCTCTGTTGTTCCACTAGGAAAAGTGCCATTTTCTCGCAAATAATTAAAAACTGACCCAAATGTTGGATGACTGGAAGTTCGACGATTAGGAAATCTCCTGCGATATTCTCTACTAGCAGCCCTACCATTCCCATTACAGAATCCATAAACAAATATTATGTCTGAATATTTTGTGGTCGAAAACTGATGTGGCATTTTGAACGAAAGTAACAAAAGCTCTACCAAAACTAACACAGTGTACTTAACGTAGATATGACAGAAGAAATATGTATTCTAGTACACATAATTAACAATTGATAATGACAATAATGACAATGGGTATAAAATATCAAGAAACGTCAAACGGTCAACGCCAACCTTCATTTTAAACTTTTTTAGATTTATTTTTATTTAGTACAGTTGATGCAATGTATTATTATTTGACATAAAATTTTAATCATTTACAATCATCAAAAACTAACACATACAAGAGGTTTGACTTTTTATTCAATTTAATTTATAATTTATCCAAAATAATGCCCCAATACGATCTATGAGTAAAAATTTAAAATTGAAAAACAATTGATTCTATCGTAGATATAATACAAAGTGACAGTAAAGATGTTAATTTTCTACGTATTAGATTATGTTGTAGGAACTCATTTTAATTAAAATGTTTGAAGTTTATAAAATTTGTTTAAATTAATACCTTATAATTTGATACTTCATTATGGTTGTTCTATTTTTGGTAAGATTTGATCGTTCACTAAAAATTTAATAAAAGTGCGACAACATTGTCGCATATGTCGTTTTCATTGGCTATTTATGTAGTTTGAAAATCACTTATTGCATCTTAAAAAATATATACAGGGTGTAATATTTAATACGAATCCCTAAATAAATTTTTCCAAAGCCAGTCCTGGAATTTTTTAGTTTAGCTAATACCAGTCGAATGCTTGATAGTAGTGTACTGTATCATGCAAAAATTAAAAAAATCAAATGAGCCGTATAAAGACTACAGTAAAATGAAATAAATGGTCAATTACACATATCACCCTGTTAATTAATAAAGAAGAGGAGTTGACATTTTTTAGGGGCCACATGATATGCTCCCTGAGGGACTCTACATATGGTAGAAGTATGTAAAGTTCCTCATGACTCACCCTGTATAAATAAATTGATTATATTATATTAATTGACAAGCGTTAAAGAAATAGAATCAGGGCAGTTAAAACATTTCCCGGGACGGATATCGGTTCCGACCACAATCCTGTTACCGGTAAAATCTCAATTATTAAACTGAAGAAAATCAAACGCAATGATACACTCAAAGAAAACTTCAGTGAAGCACCCGCGGTAGCAGGAGAATCCGTAGAAAGTATTTGGCTCACCTTCAAAACACAATCAGAACTATACAAACAGAACAACTATATGACAACACAAGAAAAACAAAGAATACATGGATGACAGAAGAAATCCTAGATCTGATGGACGTAAGATTTTACAAAAACCGCATTGAAGTAAAACATAAAGAAACCCAGAGAACCATCCGAAGCAAAATCAGGAAAGCCAAAGTACCATCAGGATGAACCGCAGATGTGAGGAACTGAGGGAATTACTAAAAAATATGACTACTTCAATGCATACAAAAAGATTAAGCAAGTCACAAATATGAAGAAAAAATTCACTACAGTGGGAAAATACATCGAAGATCTGTTTGATGACCAAACAAAACCACAAATGAATATAGTACAAGACACAATACTTGATACATTAACATGGGAAGTTACAAAAACAATCAATAGGGTAAAGTCACGAAAGACCTTAAATCCAGATGAGATATATGTAGAGATGATAAAACTTATCAATGAAGAAAATCTGTCTTGAAGCAGATATAAAGAAAAATTTATTAACAAATAAAAAATAATACATGTCTTCGTTTGGCAATTCATCTTCAAAATTGTCTTAATTTTGATCTCCCGGTAGATTATACTAGTGAATGTTGCTGTAGATTAGAACAATTAAATCTTTTCAACCTTACAGCCACTTCCACTGGATGAAATAGTACCTAAACCTTCTCTTGCATACATAAACAGTTATGTTGCATTTCTGGTTCTAATATGAAATTCATTTTAGAAATTGGATTGTTTAGTGGACTTCTTAAAAATAGCTTCACTTTATAATGAGAATCTCCTTGTAAGAACCCATTTCTATTATCTCCGTTTAAACTTCTTTTCAAGAATACATAATTATTTATTCCTACCTGGTAGAAACCTAGAAAAACATATTCAAGAAGTATCAGGAAATTGTCAGAATTTAAAATCAATATTTCATATTATATATATTATATAGAAGATTTATTGAAAGTTTTGAAAATTTACTACTCACTCTGGATATTTTGTATATTTACTTGTGTCTTTTTATATACAGGGTGGTCCTTAACTAATTGTACACAAAGAAACCGCAGATTCTACACTTTAAAATATTACGATTAAAGTCAACTTGCTTCAATAAAATGTTGATATTAAAAAAGATACAGGGTGTTAAAGTGGAAATTTAAAATTTTATTTTTCGCTATAACTTTTATGTTTGTTAACATTTATGTATAAAAATTTACAACTAGGTACTATTAAATATTAGAAATTATAATTTAATGTATACTTTGATATAGCTAATAGAGGGCGCCACATATGCCACATACGTGGCATACATTTGCACTTAACTTTTATGTTCTTCAAGTTACCGATATTTTTTATAAAAAATATTAAAGATACATTATTTTAACAAAAAATAGGTATACTTGTTAATAACTTCAAAACTCAACAGTTTTAGAGATAATCGCATTTTACAAATCAACTGCATAATTCTGATTTAACGCAATTACTCCAGACAATGAAAGAAAAATAGATAAAAACATCAACACTTCTCAATTTTGTTACAAAATACCTTCAATAAAGTCAGTATTTAATGAAATATTAAATAAAATAAATATATCAGCAGAATAATTATTAATCGAATTTGATAAAATAGAATAGAACAGAATAATTGGATTTTACATCAAACATTTTACGTTTTTTATTAAATTAAAGTCATAATCAAAACATTTTATTTACACATTAAATTAAGAAATGGTTAAACTAAATAACATTAAACTTTTTGTCAAAGTAAGTGTTCATTATGTCCACCATTTTCTTTAATTCATTTGTAAATACATTCCATAAAATATCGTCTCATATTAAATAGCACATTGGCTCTAAAGACACTGCTGCATTACTTATTATAAGTATAATAATAGGTATTCTTTTGGGATTTTTATGAATTAATTAATTATATTAATATCTTACCACATGACCCAGGAATATGACTATCACGAACAATCCAACGTTCAGGAAAGTTGTTTTTAAATACTGTTCTCACTCCTCTTTCTCTGTAATGTATTGGTGTGCCATCTTGTATAAACCAAATATTTAGCCTTAAGTTTGATGACAATTCTTCCAATAAATCAATAAAATCATTTTATAAAAAATGTAAATAAATCTCACCATTCAAATTGCAAGGTAATTCTCATATCCGTGAAATATCATTCAAAATTTATATTTAAAATGCATGGTTCGGAATTATATATTCGGAGTCTTATATTGACTTGCATATTTCGTGTTCTACTTTCCACCATTACCTTCGTCTTGTCAGCCATTGTAATGCTTCTTGGCTATCAGCTATTATGACTGTATCATCAGCATAGAGAAGATTACTAATAGTCTGTCCGTTGATTTTGATTCCGTCTTCAGTGTCACTTAAGGCTCTATCGAAAATCGTTTCAGAGTAAAGATTAAAAAGGGATGACAGAACACAACCCTGTCGTACACCTTTTTCGATTGAGAAATATGGTGTAAATCCCAGTCCTACTCTCACAGATGCCACTTGATTCACATAAAGGTTCTTAGTGAACCATGTGAATAAACGTATGTCAGAGTACAATCCTGAAGAAATTTTGTTTATATAAATGTCATAGTAGCGGACTTATGGTTAAATGAAAAAAAGCGTCTCACTCAGTTTCCCCTACTTTAAATTAATTCAATCAACGATTAAACTGAAACCCAAATTTTAAGGACTCAAAATGGAGATATATACCTAAAAAAATTTCGGTGCCCAACCAAAACCCCGCCCCCCACCCCTCCCAGGAAAATTCTTGGTGCGCCACTGATTTGATCACAGACAAAAATATAATTTCTAGAAAAATTTCATATGCCTACTATTTTATTGGTAATATTTTTTAATTTGTTTTTTTTTTTTAACTTTAGAAATCTAAAAACGTATAATTATACGATTATAAAAAGATACTCTACTATGCATTTTCGCGAAATTAAAGGCAAACATTACCGTCTCCCTTAGAAACTCATTAATTAAGAGCAACTGCACGGGAATTGAAATTAATTTAAACACAGCCGCTGTACTATAACACTAAAACGTGTATTACACATATGCTGTCAGTTAAATTGTAGAAAGAGCAATGGAAGCTTGAAAGAGTGTCGACAAGCAAATAGAAGAAGCAATAACACGCTGATCTGCGGTCGAGGGTGTCAAAGCTCAGAACGGAGGGGATGGAACAATGCGTGTGACGTCACAGACAGCAGAGAGCGCTTGTCGCATGGCCAACTGAGCTTCGCTGCCGTCAGTTTAGTCATGCCAACGTTTCAGGAAAGGTGGTATGTTGTAGTGTAATCTCGCGGGTGATAAACGAACTTTTGTGTGAAGTTGTGAAGTTTTTGTTTAGCTTATGGAACACATTGTGACATTATGTTGACTTCTTCTAATCAGTATTTGAGACCGGAATATCTTACTCCCCTACCTACTACAGTAAGTATTTTAAAATAATTAGGACTATTTACCACCTTACACAGGTACTACCTGCGGAAAGTACCTGATGCCAATACTGTATCTGAAATCAGCGATTCTATATTATGTTAACCGATCTTAACTTGTCATTTATCCAATATTTTCAGCTTTGTTGTCAAGTTTTCCGGTAAAACATTAATGTACACTGACTGAATCAGATAAAATAAATCAGTTACTGAGTTTTTAGAATGTATAAAGCTTAAAAATTCGCAAAACTTTGACATTTTAAAGGTGATTTCTTTACAATAGCCGTATAATATTTGAGATTGATTGGTGTTAAAATTCTTTCATTCCTTAAAATACGTTTGAACATTCTCACCATCTTAGCAATGTTTTTGTAACAATTAACAATGTATGTAGAAGATTTTTCTAAAAAAAAATTAATAGCTGTTACCTTTATTAGGAAGTACTAGATCCATTAAGTTGTTGAAAACTTTTTAGTGCTTGTAGTGAAGATCTATTTATTGCCGTTTTTCATCACATTTTCTTCTATCATGGGTTGTTTATCTCCTTAAATCTTAAACGAGTTATTTCCTTGTACAGATCGTAGTAGTTTTTTCTCTACGTTTCCTTTTGTTTTTTAAAATTCCTTTTATTTACTTTGTGTATTTTTAAATTTGTATTTATTTGATCTATTTTTCTTTTCATTCTATATTTTGTTAAAATGTCTACCTCTTATCAAATCGTACCTAGTATTTGTTTCTGTCTTCTCTACAGTTAATCTTTAAGTTTTTCTATCTGTTTCTTTTATAAATTTCCATTTTCTCTCACTCCCTTAAAGATAGCAGCTTACGCAAATCACAAGTTATATTCTTAATATTTTATAAGCAAAATGATCATGTTCTATTATATATTTTCGTTGGTTTCATTCCAGCTTGTACGTGTGCAATCAGAAATGTTTACAAAATACGATGTTGATATATAATTTAGTAATTCTTCCTCTGCGTATTTCATCCTTGATTTTCAAGGAAAGTTGGGACATCCATCTAAAACATGATCGTATTTAGGATGAATTCTTCTACCTATGATTGTTCCATGATTTTATACACAAGCTTAATAAGAAAAAAATACTTGATTGGAATACCAACTTAATCATTAAAAGGAATATGATGATATCTTTGGATGAAAAATTCTGGGATAAGGAAAATTCTTTCAGTTGCTACCTTAGGTCCTTTACAGAGACTACTTCTCTGGACCAGCAACCCCAGTTTGGAAGTTTTACGTTGCCATGAAGTAAATCTATTTAAAACTAACATCCAATTAAATAAACATCATTAATGTAATACAACACCAATTTAATAACATATAAAGGATCTTTACCCGAATTATTAGTGGCTTCACACATATGTTACTAGTAGCAGCACTGATGAGGGAATAGTCATTCTGAAAACGTTTTGTGATGTAGCCCGAAAGGCCTCTTTTAAATAAATATATCTCCTTATAAAGGAGTTTTTAATCACATTTTTGAAACTACTTTAATATCTACAAAATTACTACTACTTACAGCTTTCTTTTTATTCTTTAGGCTATCTATTCGGCAAAAGTCTCTTTCGTTATCATATTAGAATGGCGATAAATAAAAAAACGAAGGGGATTACAAATAAGTAAAAGGAATTTACTGGCTGGCATAATATTTAAGCGTAGATATGACAAAAAGTTACAAGTTAATAGCATAAAGGACAAAGTGAGAAGGAGTGGAGACCAACAATATAATATAACGCACGAATATTATACAAATCTCTATGAAACAGAACAAAAACCAACCCTAGAAATCAGTAAAAATGAAATAAAAAAGGCACTCAAAGAAATGAAGAATAACAAAGCTCGTGGGAAAGATGGAATAACTGTGGAACTGCTAAAAAATGGCGGGGGGAACTACAGTGGAAGTCCTTTATGTACTAAGTACAAACTATTAACTAAACTACTAACAAACAGATTAACAACTAAGTTAGATAATTATCAGTCAAGAGAGCAAGCCGGTTTTAGAAAAGGATTCAGTACAAGCGACCATCTGCTTACGATATAAATATTAATTGAAAAGGCCAAGGAATATCAAATCCCAATGTATATGGCATTTGTAGACTTTAAAAAAGCATTCGATGAGGTGGAACATTGGGCAGTAAAGAACTCTTTACAAAATGGGATAATAGACTATAGATATACGGACTATATGATCAGACAGGGTGACACTATATCACAAACTATACAATCAAGCTTTGGAAGACGTTATGAAGAAATTACAATGGGAAAAACGGAGTATTAACATAAATGGCCAATATTTAAATCACTTGAGATCTGCAGAAGAGATTGCATTAATAACAGATAAAAGGGAAGAATTACAAAATATGATGGACGAATTAAATAGCGAATCAACAAAAATAGGTCTACAAATTAATTATAATAAAAAAAAAATTATGACCAACCAACCAGAAGAAATAATAATTACAAACAATTTATAGAAACTATAGAACAAGTAAAAGAATATGTATATTTGGGACAACTAGTTAAATAATGAAAATCAGACCGGAGAAATAAAGAGAAGAATGTATACTTCCTGTTCTCTCCTACGGTTTTCAAACTTGGACGTTTACAAAGGAAAACATGGAAAAAATGGCAAATACTCAAAGAGCCATGGAAAAGCAAATGCTGAACATCAGGCTATCAGACAAGAAAAGAATTGCTTGGATCCGCAACAAAACAAATGTGACCGATGTACCTATCAACGCAGATAGCAAAACTTAAGTGGAAGTTCGCTGGACATACCATAAGACAGAAAGACGACAGATGGAATAAGACGATTATATACTGGAGACCATATATGTAGTTACAAACGAAAAAGAGGAAGGCCACAAATGAGATGGTCAGATGACTCGAAGAAACACGCAGGCCCGAAGTGGAAACAAACTGCATACAATAGAGAGATTGTACAACAAAATTGAACTTGAATTGAAGGGCTGTATAGATAGATAAATAGATGACAAAAAGGGGAAATGGGAAAACATTAACAAAACGTTTAAATGAGACGGTTTTGAAGCTGGGGAAATGGGAAAACATTAACAAAAAACGTTTAAATGAGACGGTTTTTCAAAAAGATAGACAAGTACATCGTCAGAATATTTACAGATTTTCTTAGCAATACTCCAAGTAATATTCTTTCTCATATACTGCCTTTAATTTGTAGCCAACAAATTAAAGTTACCGCTTTCGTAGTTCTTCTGATGTGAGTATACTCGGAATATGCTTGTCGCCATTTCCGATCATAACTGTAAGGAATTCCCAGGAATACAAAATCCTGGGAATATCTAAGTAATTGTGGTGCAAACTTTTTAAGTTAGTCCTGCGTAAACGTAAACATCAACTGTTTGTTGCCGTGAGCATACAAAAAAGCCATATTTCACTGCTTGTAGTAAAAATATATCAAAAATGAGACATACAAAACCAAAAAGTGTTTATTACTGGTACTAATCCTTTTATTTTTATTATAGAAACTTTCATTCAACTCAAACGATAACAAAAAGAACCCACACACACTTACACAACTAAAATACTTTAATTTATTATTCTGATAAATAATAGTGTGAGTAAATATCCTTTATTGCAGGATAAGATAAAGCCTTCGACAGTTTACATAGCTGCCTTATAAAATCTAATAAATAGGTAATAAATAACAGTGCCATTATGTAAATAGCTACACGGGCATTATTAACATAAAGTTATTGCCAGGCACGGGAAAAAACACAAAAGTGAACGAGACAAATTTATGTGCCAGGTGTAACAACTTTAAAATATAAATAAATGAAGCGTAATGTTCAAATCGTGGATTCTGACGGGACATAAACTTTGTAGTTGTTTGTGTCGTTGGACGTTCTACGAAATATTACGTGTGCAATTTTTTAAAATAGATAAAAGTTTTTATCCATTTTATAAGACAATCATCAGAAGATCTGGAATTGATTTATTATTGAAAATTCTGGCTTTCCGTTCTCATCTTGCAGGGTAAATATGAAATGGTTCATTTAAATAGTTTTAATTTGGACAAGACAACGGTTAGATGATTGTTTTGGATAGTACTTTACTCTTGCCTCCCTAAAAGCTGCATTATATTTTCTAGCACCAAAGAAGTATCATTTCCTAGAAATATGAGATATGGAATTGTAATAAATTGAGGTCATGATTATAGTAAACATTTTAAAGTTACATTTTTAGTCAATGTGGATTCGTAGACGAGTGTTGAAGATACCTTGGACGAAATAGAAGTACTAAAGAGGGTCAACAAAGATTGGGTACAAAGAGAATTACTAAAGACTGTTAAATACCGGAAAATGTTTCTGAAAATCTGGGACATTTATTGAGAGGAAACGCCAACGTCGGAAAATTCTGATATCTGCACGTGAAGAAGAAGAACCTGTATTCCAAATAGTGAGGCAGTCAGAGTAGTTAAATTCATTTAAACAGCAGTAAAATCAAACTCGATTTTCTTTTATAGTATAGCATATGGTCTGATCCACGCTCTGACCAACTATCTAACTCAAAGCAAATCGATCTGCGCTACGCCATCTTCTGGATCTAAGCTTCCTCAAATCTTTTTCAACATGGCAACAGTCATCCTAGATAGAGTTTCTTAACCGATCACACTTGTAGTTCCATTTGATTGTTCATCTTAATCTGGCGGTTTTGATCTCCTTTAGTAGATCAGGGTCTTTACATATCTATTATAGCTTGTTTCATTGTAATTTCATGCTGTACCGCTTGCTCATTAGATCTCTTTTAATAATTTCTGTTCCATACACGAAGCTGATCCTCACTGTTCATTGGAAAAAGTATTCCCAGTTGCTGTTCTTGCCTTTATTTTGATTGACCTGTTGTGTCGTATGTGAGTACCCAGATATTTTAAATTGTAGCAGTGTTCGAACTCATTAATGTCCAGTTTACATTTTTACATGGTTTTTGTATTCACGAGAGTTTTCAAAGGTTTTGATTTTTTTTAATACTCTGAACATCTCTTTTAATGACTGTTTAAGCTTTCTCCATTGCGGTTATTGTCCTTCATGTGGCAGCTGTGTTGTGAGCATTATCATAACTTTTTCCATTGCAACGTTGCTGAAATTATACCTTCCTCTCTCACTCTAATCTTAATTCATAATGGTTCAAAATTCTTCCTCCCTCTTTCAGAATAGTATTAGTATCTGCTGTCATCCTACCAAAGTATTCAGTTGATTCTGCACATCGAGTTCCTTCAACGCCTCCACAAGATTTTCTATTTTTATTTTGTCATATACGATTGTGAGGTATATATATAATAATTGGTCTCCGTTGACATTAAATTTATAACACTTCTCCTCTAAAATTGTTTTAGGAAGAAGATCTGGTTAGTCATAAATCTATTACACATGAAATCCTGATAGCTTTCGGATTCACTATTCCTTTCCATAGCTTCTCGAAAATTTTCTATTCAAAATCTAGTGTTGAAACTTACTCTAGTTAGAACAATCCAGAGCAGTGTTTTTCTTATGAAGTGAACATATTTTTGCAGTTTTCAGTTACTCTGACATTTCTTTTTTACTCAAAATATCTGATATTAAGTTGTATATTTTTTTTCTGTCAGAATATCAGGTCTTACCTTCCATATTCTAGCTGGTATTTTGTCTTTTCTTGGTGCTCTTGTGATTTTTTATACTTTTGTTCTCCTGGTATATGTCATATAAACTGGATGGTTGGATTTCTTCTTTATCATCGCCCCTTACTTCATCTTGCGCTCATATAGCTTTCACACAATTTCCTTCAAAATCATTCTCTACGGAACAATTAAAGATTTTTTAGAATATTGTGCTCTCTTTTGCATTTTGCCACCTGTTTTATTCAGATAGCATGTTTTATCATTAACAATTTCGGTCTTTGATTGGAAGCCATTCATTTACTTCCAGCTCTTCTGGAAGGATTATCTTGTATTATTTTTTGCTTTCTTTCTTTACGATTTCCCTAAACATTTTTTCCACAGATTTTTTAGTGCCACTTTCAGTTGTATTCCTCTAGCTTTTGTAAAACGTTTAATCAACATCCAGATATGTTTTATAGATTAACAGAATAACAAACCACCGTATTTATACAATATAAGAATAAAATAACTAGTGAATGTGAATTTTATACAGGTCAAACTTCCAAGTCACTAACGAACAGGATACACCAACATTAATCTTACATGAAAAATAGAGAATTTGATAGATATCAGATAAGAAAACACGAGAGTGACAATGTGCATCAAGTCCGATGGAAAGATTCATTATTTATCTTGAAAGCAACTGGTGGTAAACAGAAGTTAAGATTAAAGAGGCAGTCATTTGATTAAAGACATGTCATTTATAATTTAAGGACAGCCTTTTATATAATTACCAATAGCCATGAAGAGAGCAGCAATAGATGTCGATATTGGAAAAATATTAACACCTTTCAAAATTTTACTTCCAATTGTTTTGGTTATTTCCAGACAAAAATCAATGCGAAACATGCCACAAACTTTACTTTTTCCTGTACCTTTAACAAAAAAATCTTTATAAGTCTGTGCCTTCTTAATACCTATCTAAAACACAGCAAGGAGTAATTAGTAAATATAGCGTTTTGTAGATAAATAAGAAATATTAACGAAATAAAATAAATTTTTTATTCAAATAAGTAATGTCTCATTTGACAACGTAGTTGTAGAAAATATAATCACAAACATAATTATATGTATATTTATATACCTAAAGTTTTTGGTTTCTAGTATATAAGAGTTTATGCTGTTGAGTTTTCAATATTACTTAAAATTTTTTCTTTGTTTCAGTTGGATGCAAAGAAGAGTCCTCTCGCATTGTTGGCCCAAACATGTAGTCAGATAGGAGCAGATACCCCGAATGCAAAGCTTCTTCAAAGTTCAGAAAAATCAAACAAGTCTGCTAAGACAGATTGCCAAAAAGAAAAAAAGGATTTGTCCCATAACAATTCCAAACTGGACATTATTAGCCCTAGAGAAAAGTCCAGATCCCCCGAAGAGAGATCCAACTCTGGTTCGAGCGGCAATAGGGTACGAACGCCGATAGCTTCGAAGCCCGTTACGAACGGAAGATGTTCCAGCAATATTAGTCTTTCTCCTAGAGCTTCCCCGGCTGAAAGGAAGAGTCCTGCAACTGAAAGCAATGCAGAAGGAACAGCTACTCCCGAGAAATCCAGCGAAAGGACAACTCCGCATACGCCTTCGTCGTCGGCTTCAAAGACAGCCTTTACGCCGAATATACTGACGTCGTCTTCTGATCCGGCTATAAAGGATTTGCCGTTAGGAACTTTCAAACCAGGAGTTCCTCCTACGACTTCCCCTTTTCTGGGAGCATATCCATCGCCTTCTTTCCCTTTATCTATGGACTTAATGGCCAGTACTTTAATGAACCAGCATGCTTTAAAAAGTAGTGGACTAGTTCCGTATCTCGGTTATGGCAGAATGAAAACGCAAGACTCACTATCTTCGGTGTGTAGAGATCCGTACTGTACGGGATGTAGTGTTAGTTCTCACTTATTAGGTGCCTCGAGTGTTGTAAAGTCTTGTCCGGCCGGCTGCACACAGTGTGATCACGTAAAACCACCCACGACTGTCGGATACATGAGCCATAGTCCAGCAGCTACCGCATACGCCCACGCGCAGCTAGCCGCTTTGGCCGCAGCTTCCCATTTACCCTACGTGTGCAATTGGATATCCGGAGATGCAGCCTACTGCGGTAAAAGGTTTTCTAGCTCAGAAGAACTGTTATCTCACTTAAGGACTCACACTAGTGGAGCGATATCGGATACCGGTTCCGCTTTATCGATGTTAGGTTCGCCAGGACTACCTCCCACTCATCCCTTGCTTCATAGAACATATCCAACGCCTCCGCTCAGCCCTTTGGCGACGGCGAGATACCACCCGTACAGCAAACCGTCCTTGTTGCCCCCCTCGCTTACTTCATCCTCGCTGGCGGGGTTTCCCTTGGGACATCCAGGAATCTCTCCATATCTTTCCCCATACTCGCTTTACGGGCCTAGGCTAGGTGCTGCCCCAGGTATGCATCAGTAGATGTTCTCCAGAAGCCAAATACTAAGATGCTGTGTTATAGACTTTTCCTAGTCTTAAAGATTACCTTAAATATTCCTGGCAGTGGGAAGTGAATGGTTTTTGTTTTAGTAAAGATACTCTATATTTTTTGAAAGTTGGTAAGTACATACCTAAGGTTTACAAATTTGCGACTAAGGAGACAGTATCACGATAAGATCTTATGTAGAATATTCATTATTCACATTACATGATTTGTGTCAGTAGCACTAACCTTTTGCAACTTGTATGCACAATTTTCTTGGTATTAAACAAGTTTTATTCTTCTTTGTTAGATTTTAGGTCCGCTTTATTGGAATAATCTCAATTAGTAATGCATATAATTTCTCAAGATCACAGGAATTATTTACCATACCCAGATTCTAATATCTGTTCTATTAAGTACTTCTTACCAAACGTTTTGTAGAGATCTACTTTTATATAAACATTTTTATGTCAACACTTTTTATGTCTAGATGTTTACTTTCATTCTTCAGTATATATAGTTTCTTTTGTTGGAAAAGTTGAAGAAGACATCGCTATACATGTCCTCTGTGAATGGGAAACGCTTAGTGACATAGTTACGCTTTTCTACTAAGACAATCCTTCACTTCCGTATTGCTAAGACTAAAAAAATTAATGAATCACTTTGTTAAACCCGGTGTATTATTGTGTGGACGTAACAGTGTGATATTATTTTTAATACTGTACATTTTTGAATGACATCTTAACTTTCAATGTACATAGTTGTTAACATTGCCTGCAGCGTTGCTGTGAGCTACTTCCAAATGGAACACATTTCCAATTCGAATATTAAACCAGGAAATACTATTAAACTATGTATGTATTATACTTACTGCTAAGGCTTAAAACAATATATAAATTAACTATTGAGAAAACCTTTAGAAAATCACCATAAAGAAAATACTTATAAATCAAAATATGCAAAAGAATTGATTCTTCTTTCTATTATCAGTTGATGTATTATTTTATGGAATTGTGTAATCTTTCTGGATACTCTTTCTATTCTAGAAAGCTTCTAATTACAAGAAATTCTAAAGCAATCTGTATTGACTTTATTGGTAAAATAACTGAATACTTGGTTTTCTGGATAAGTTTAACTTTCTAGGATCCTACTCAATTCTTCCTGGTATTCTCAGAATATATTTCATTTTAGTTATATTCATTTTGGAATAATGTTTTGGACGAGTGTTTCTGAATTTGCAATGGTTGTAGCCAACTTTCATTTGTAGAGTCGTCATTATAAGAAGACAAAGTACTGCGAATTTGCCTACCCTATCAATAAATACGACATTTATTATCCTTCTATCGGACTCAGATAATTTAACTTGTTGGTTTTCAGCAATTATTTACACTTTATCTGACAGTAAACATACTCCATCTGAATTAATCAATGCTGTGAAGAATGAACAAGTATTAAGAGTGTGAATCAATAGTATTTGTAGATAAAGGGTCCTCTTAAACTTTTGAAACTACAACCAGAAAGATCTGTTGTTTATAAGCATATATATCTGTGCGGCTTTCGGATAAGCTTTAGCACCTGTCGCCTCAGCTGATTAGATTATTCTTCAAATAATTTCAAACTGTGTTAGTACCTAAATTTTCTGAAACATAGACATTACAGAAATACTTTGGTTGATATCGAATTGGAAATTGTGCTTTTTGTATATAAATTTCGATTTTAGTGGACAATAGTTCAAAAAAAGTGTTTTTTGTTTATGTCCAACAAGACGTGAATATTTTAAATTATTTCTGGGTAATTTGTATTAAAATTAATCTTATTTAAAAGTACCAAGCGATAACAAAATTTAACCGATCATAACAATTTAGGGTTGGTACAAAAAAAAGCTCAATGAGTAGAAAGTGACCTTGTGACAGAAGTCAAAAGACTATAAACCTAGAACATTCGCAAAAAAAGAGATTAACAAACAATATGAGCAACAAAGATATTACAAACCAAATACATCTTTGTTACAAAAAATCAAACAAAATAATTATTTTTTTAAACTATCATCCACGACAATCGAAAAGTTTTTTGTCAAAATATGGATATATGTATATATTTGTGTACAGATCTCAGCAAGAGAAATATTATTTATTGCTCTAACTTTTGAGCTTACGACTTTTTAAGTTTTCCTCAGCAAGGAATATCTTCAAGTACTTATATGCACCAAAATTATTAACTTTTTTATAGTAAACATATGAAACGGATACGTATTTTTGTTCGAAGTCATTACTTTTTTCCGGTTTGTTGGAAACGTTGTTTTGTGGATAATATTACATTTTTTATAACAGCTCTAACGTTAGTAATTCTTTTATTGCTTTTAAAGCTGTTTAATTGGTAATTAAAACAATACTTAATTTTATTTCTAAAATTTTCCTTGGTTTAACCCTGAAAATTAAATAAACAGGTACCAAATGTTTACAATTTAATTAATGAAGCTACTTTTTAATTTGTTTAATAATTCTATTCAATGTTTATTCGTAAGTATTTTGGTATTATCAATCGTTCTAGGTTATTGGTAAGCAATACTGTTGATGTAAATCATTACTATAATCTCTTGGTCTTTTTTAATGGGTTCTGATGTAGTAAAAAGTAACTGAATACTAGATTCCTGTACTCAAGAGGGTCAATTTTGTCAAAATATTAATTTTTTTATCACAGCCTAGCTGCACTAAAGACTGTGAAGTCTACAATTTGTGAGTCCATGACATCAACTGTAAACATTTCCTTAAACTATTGGCGAAGTACAATAAGATAACTTTGATATGTTCGCTTGGACATATAGGAATTGTTAATAAATATATTGCAGATAGTCTTGCTAAAAAATAGCATAATAGGATAATAATTATTTTGCGATATCCCCAAATACCTCTGCATTAAAGATGTTTGAAACAGGAGAAGGTAACAGTTTACTAAGAAACTATTTTACACAAAAATTCCCTTAGAGCTTCTTAAACTGAACTCACAGTAGAGTTATTGTCACTGGAGACTGCTTATTCAGATATTACTTTGTAAAATGTTTTGCAGAAGAGGACCAGTGGGAAAACGATCCAGAGGAAGACCAAAACTTAGGTATTAAGATAACATAGAGGATGATCTAAAATCCATCGGAGTTAAATCATGGAGAAGAGTTGCCAGAGACTTATGGCGAATGGAAGATTGTTCTGAAGAAGGCTTTGGCTCATGACGAGGTTAATGCCACTGATGATGATGATGAAAATGGTGCCTGTAACTGCACGGTATTTGTTCGCCAACGTTATAAAGACCTGGAACAGGCCTCACCATAGCTGTAGTTGAAATTCAATATCATTATTCAATATTACACCCTTAGAACGAAAACAATGGAAATGTAGATTATTCGTTGCTATTATGAGTTGTGGGAAGGACATCTACACTAGGTGGAAGCAGATTGATTAGAAACTAGCTGATCACCCCTGCCATTCATTGTAAAGACTCTAAGTAACTGAACAACTAGGTGACTGCGATACTAGTAAGTTGATATTTAAACAATGAGAGTTCTAGATATAATCAGAGATGTCGGTTATAAAAGATCTATCAGGTTTCAGTGTGGAAAGGTCTCAGACTTTTAAAATCCATGAACTACACCTGAATTTAGATATACGTGTTCTCAGGCTTTATATTTTTTTATTTTCTTTTAGTTTTCTGGTCTATTTTAGACAGTTCTTTGATAAATATAGGGTTTAATCGACATAATTTAAACAAATTACTAAGATATCTATTTATAGAAATTACTTTTCCAATCTTCTATCACCATGTGTATTTTAAACACAAGAGAATTTGTTTTTAAATTTGATTTACCACCTCTTTGGTTTGTCCATTTATGCCGACTTACAGAAATATTGTCAGTTTATTTGTATCGTCATTCCATTCTGTGTAAATTGTTTTGTTATCCATAGAACTTGCCGTGCTATATTTTTGTCATTAACTTACTTTACTCTGTTAGTTATATTTTCATATCAATATTGCTTATATAATTGCAATAAAGCAATACATGTATTGCTTTTCAACATTTCAACCATGTTTTCTTTGACTTTTCTCTCCTATTCTTTTCTTTCATTCATGACACAGCATGATTATCACTTTGGTCCTGTATGAAGTTTTAACCTAACCTAATTATTTTTTATTTTTGGATCAGAAGATTCCTTTCTTTAAAAACAGTATCGCCATGTGGTTGGAAACTAGTTTGATGCGTCATTCGGACCGACGTGGTGATATAAAAGCGTTTTTATTGGTTTTTCCGAAGGCAAACGTAAAGGCCCGTTTTCACGTTACGTCTTATTGTACGTTTTGTTGGTCATATAAAACGTACGACAAAACGTACGTTTTGTTCAGTGTATACACACTATGTGTTTCCTTCCGACAAGACGTACGTTTTGCTGTTTACATGCAACGTTTTATTGTATAGGATTTGTCCTATCCAACAAAACGTACAGTAAGACGTAGCGTGAAAACGGGCCTTAACACATTAAAATGATACGTTTTATGTACGTTTCACGTACATTCTTCTTCTTAAAGTTCCATCTCCTATCGGTTTATTCCGTTCTGGATAAATATTGATAATTGCAACGAAATAATAATACGAAAATAAAATTTCAATCATATAGATTAAGTTTGTCTGTCAGTCCGTCCATGTTTCCAGCTTTAGATTGAAAAAACTGTCATAGATAGAGAAAAACTGACGAAGGATTCCGATTCAGCACTAAGTTCTTACGACAGAAATTGTCAGAACCGAATACTCACTTACGGCTTTGATAAAATTAATAAAAAGCTGTATAACTCGGAAATGACAATAGATACAGTTAGTTTGATGAGTTTCGTGATCAGCGTGCAAAATAAGTCTAAAAAACATGTTATGGTTAACTTTCGGTTCATTTCGATCTACAACATTGCTTGCAAAATAAAAATTCGCACAGAAAAATTATTTTCGTCTTGAGAAAATTTTTGCCCCTTTACTCTTAATTAAAGTTTAAACCATATATTATATGAATCGTTTTGTACCTGGTTTTACCCAAATCGTTTATTAAAAGTGAATCATTACAATTACAAAAAAATACAATTTTTACGTATTTTGAACTTCACTTGAACCATTCTTCAAATATTTAACAAATACATTTCCTTTTTGGTCATCAACCAAATAAACAAGCAGAGAATCATTTGACCTACACGTTGTAAACAAAAGATAGATATTACATCAATTGAATACTGTTATTAGTCATAGTACAAGTTTTTTTAACGTATAATTATATTGTCACTATGAAAGACAAATTACCAATTTGTGAGGTTTCTACAATTTTGTTTAACAATATTTTTGTCTTAATAACTATTCCTTGACATATTTTATTATAATTAAGTGCTGTTTGAACAATTATATGTTTCTGTTTCATTCTAGTTAGAACAAATATTCTTTATAACAATTTTTTTCTTGGTAGAATTTTTATCGGCACATTTAAAAAGAAAAAAAAATCAAAAATTAACAGAAATTAAAGAACCATGAGACGCACTTAGCATAAAGTCCATATAACTACATTTTGTAGTGGTATTTGTACTTCCTAATAACCTCGTTCATTAAAAGAAATATGGATTATTTCATCTGTCATAATTCAGATCTCCAATTAATGTTCATTTTAGTACCTTATTATTCATCTTGATATTCAAAATAGAACTAATTTTATATTGTATTCTCTTTTTGATTTATCCAATTTAAACTTAAATCAATGATGAATGAATAATGTTGAAGAAACTGGACACTAGATACTTTTTAAAATGAACTCTGTCCTCGAATGGATATATCTATAAATGTATTGAAGACGGCATTAAATTTCAACTGGACGGTACGAATGCGTTTCAAAACTGCATGGTGTAGAGTGATTCCCGACAGTATCAAACGGTCTTAGAGGAATGGATTTTCTAGTGAAATTCACATCTTCACTCGAGTTGATGATATATTTCCTCCGTTTGATTTAAAATTACAGATATCCACGTATCCTTAAATTCCCGATAGTCTAGTCACTGAGAACTATAACTTGGTTTAGTTTCCGGTGAAAAGTAACAAATGAGGACAAGCATCAGAGAGAAAAGGAATTGAGACGTGCTCTAAAAGATCCCACATAAGTCGTAAATGCAATAGACATTAAAACAATTACCATAAGACGACCAGAAAGAAGATGCGCAGCTCCGGCTGATCTTAAAATTTTCAAAGTCAAGGAGAGAGTATGTGTATCACACAGTTTAGTAACAATAGGACCCCCAGTATAGACAGGAATTATTATATATAGACAGAAACATTAATGGGCGTGCCAAAAGGGCAGATGACTTCGAAACGGTAGAAAAGAAAATTTTTTTTCTACAAAAAGATAAGCATCAGAAAAAAATAGGAAAGGAAAAACGAAACATGTCCAATAAATGCAGTATTTACCATTTGAAATGTTAAGATAGATAAAAAGTTGAGCGGATTCTGGATGCATGTATGCATTCACATAAAAGGAAAAAGGTAGCGAGCTACTAGCCTCTCTCTCCAATGGCGCTACAGCCCAAATCAAGCTTTAGTCTTCTCCAAACTTTGCCTCCAACCTTGACTATACCGCGCCGATTTTCTCTAGATTCTCACGTCTCT